TTGATTATCCTTACTAATTTCCGAAATAAAGTTCCAAAAACAATTGTCCATTCAAAATTAAAAAAAAAAAAAAAAAGAAATGAAAACCGATGATGATAATACAGATAATAAAACCTTCTAAATAAAACCAATGCGCTCAATGCTTTTATCAACCACCACCCTACTGTGCCAAACTTAAATAATTGTTATTCACCTTTTGCTGATGTCAAATCAATTACTTCGTAATTTGCGTTTTGATCAATCTTATCATACCAATCTTCTGGCACTATCATTAACTGCCTTCCTATTGTAGCGAAACATACACATGATGAATATAGAATACACTAAATAAATAAAAAAAGAAACAGTAAAAGTCAGATCATCAAAGGTCATAAAAATATTAAAACAATTATATAAATAGAAAATTGAGTACGTACAGGAATCCAAGAACGCACACCAAAAAAGTCAGCATGTGTAAAACTATAAATCAAATTGATTCGATTACCTAATATGATATTAATAAATGACGAGATCAAAGGAAATTTCAGCATTACTAACCTATAAATTCCATTAGCAACTAACATGTACATAACACCCGTTCCTACCGACGAAAATAACGCAGACATAATAAATCCGTGTATCGTTCGGTCAAATAGGAACCATAATACAATAGATATTAGTGATAACGTACAAGAAACTTGATAGTTGCTACTCCAAGGTAGTTTCTTTTTCGTTTAATGAATAAAATAAAAAAATGAGATTACAATCAGATTAGAGAGGCATCTGCGCGTTATTTTGAGTACGCGCATGGGCGTTATTTTGAAACAAATATAAAATTATATATAAAAAGTAAATAAATAAAAATGCTCCGAAACTAGGTTTGGTGCTAAGTAAATATACATTCGGGTTTTAATTAAAGTTGTTGTTCAGGTCAAGACGGTTCTAATGGTAGTAAGTTCATTAAAAACGGCCCAGTATATCGTTCGCAATGGCTCTTTGAAGTTTGCAACGTTTGTTTATCTTTGTTTAGGGGAGCCATTGTGGACGATATACTGAGTCCAGGGTTGGCAATGGAGTTCAATGGAGCCCAATGGAGTTGTGAATGGAACCAATGGAGCTCTGAATGGAGCCAATAGATCCTAATTTTTTGAGCTCCATTCGCACAACCATTGAGCTCCATTGGCTCCATTGCCAACCCTTTTTTGATAAACTTACCACTATTAGAACCGTCACGATCTGATGGACAACTTTTGTTAAACTCAAAAGTAGATTTACATCGTACCAAATCTAGTTCCGGAGCATTTTTAAATTTGACTACCCCTTACTATTAGATGCGTGTTATTTCGGGACGCGCATGGGCGTTATTTCGAAACCACCTATGCTATTTTTAGGGGGCGCAATTTTCGAATTAACGCCCCTGCCCGTTATTTCGAGAATTTACGGAATGCAAGAAACCCAAACCTTACCGTGGCAGCATATGCAACGCCAATAAATCCACCCATACACCTGTTTAGGAAAATAAAAATTTAACAAAAATTATAACTCTTATATAAATGCAATACAATCATACCAACCATACCTCATAACATTACTCCATTCTTTTTGAAATTCTTGTGGTTTGCGCATAAACCAGTAATCAGCCAAAGGAAACATGGAACCTACTAAAATTGCGGATAAACCGCAAGTAGGAGGAATCCAAGCGGCGGTGTCAACCAACTTTGTAATGTCTTTTGGATACTCTGTAATATGATTCTGAGTAAGCAAATGGTCAATTACAAAAGACGTGAGAGAGCCTAGAAGAAATAGGGTCAAAAGACGGGGTGGATAATAACTCAACCACCACGTTGTTGTTCTACTATTGTCTTGCGCAAATTTTGTAAGTCGTGGTACAGTAGTACTCATTTCTTGAAGGTTCCTTGGGAAAAAAATAATTTTTTTTTTTTTTATGGTTAGAGTCTTGCCATATATAATAAGTGATCTCTTCGTTTTTCTCGAGTTACTATAACAGAACGAAATTGAGAATGACGTCTTAACCTCTTAAACAAACGGACTAATTTTAAAGGTTGTACGACTTAAGATAGCGCTAAATTTCTAATTGATATATTATTTGTTTCCAATTGTAGCTGCTTTTAATCAAATGTACCGTACCTAAAATCAAGAGAAGTGTTGTTAGCCACTAATTGTCAAATAACCCGAATATATATGTAAATTGTTTGATATTTTTGGGAATTTGTGCTACAAATTTTATCCGGAGGATCAAAAAATTGAAATTGCAAGCCAATATAGATTTGATAGTTTATTTGAAAAGTTTCTTGAGCGAACTGATAACGATTAAGATGATCTTTTGACCATTTTCTCACTAAATTAAGATCTAAGCAAAAAACTAAAAGAAGTTTCTATCTTTTATTTTCTTCCGTGTTGTCTTCCATCTGTCCACATTTTCACCCTTGCAGCATTTGAGTTACCTGTAATAGACATTGCGTAACTTCATTCGACGCCTCATGAATTTAGCGTTGGGACTGGGTCTCAGGATTATCTCTATACAATTACTGAATTAGATATGAATTCATATGATTGACCAATTAGTACCTTGTATCATCATTTCATTCGTCATTTAATTTCCGTTATTTGAAGGTAAATAAATTATTTGGTACATATAAAGGATCCTAATGATAAAATTGATTTTTAATCAATTGAATATAGATTTCCTTACGTTAAACTTAAATCCGTCTGTCCAAAACTAGTGCAGCTATCATATTATCGCGAAATAAAATATATAGTATACACTTTCAAAATAACGCTTTCAGAGTAACACTCATGCGTATAATTGGTGGCATAATTAAGTTCCGTGCTCTAACATTGCAATGCGGAAATGCTGTATTGTGGCGCGTCTTGTGAAACTGCTACATTAACAGCAGATTTATGGACCTTACGGAATAACCAAGATTATATTGGGGTTACTTGTCACTGGATAACTTATAATTGGTCTCTCCAGAGCATATTATTATGTTGTGAAAAAATATCATACCCATATACTGCTGAGTCCATTCTTCAATTTCTTATTAGCAAATATACAGAATTTAATCTTGAAAACAAGATTATATGTGTTTTTACTAATAATGGCTTCAACATACCATTGTCTGATTCTCATGTGACATTTAACAGTTAATTTTGTTTTACAAAAAATTTGCTTGTAAACAAAAAAAATAAAAAAATTAGTTTATTTTTTTGATTCATCAAAGCAACAAGAAAGATTAGAGAAAGTTCAAATAAGAGTAATAGAAAGAAATACATTATCATTTTTTAGCCCAGTTCATGCTAAAGCTTATGTTAAAGTTTACCTTGATAATAAAGAGGTTGGTGAAATTAATAATAAAAATAATACAGAATCAGAAAAGCAATTAAATGAAATATTATTTTTAAACCTTTTTATTCAATTAAAGATTGTCCTATATGATAGAATTCTAAATATCAGTTTTGGAAAAAATTGTTAAAATTAAAAAATATAATTATATAGCTAAAAATAAATATGAATATCTTATGGAATTCAGATAACAGAAAAGACAGACAAAACTTAAACAATATTTGTCTAATGAAAATTAATCAAAGAATTAGTTAAAACTTTTAAATAATTTGATCATATAATAGAAATATTTAGTGTTAAAAACTATTGTATATTATCAGTTGTATATTTTATTATTAAACTTTTAAATTTCAAATTCACAATAGATTCAATTCTGCCTTAATTGATAATAATTATGAACTAAATAATGAATATAGTAAGAGAGACATGTTTAATTTGGTGCAGTACCTAATTTGATACATAATAATATCTTGAAAACTATTAATCAGAATTGTATAATTTTCATACTATTCAATTCATTTTATCAAGACGAATCAAATAGTACCAAAATAATATAATTCTGATTAATAGTTTTTGAGATACTCTATTTAACCAAAATAGCTCAAGGTAGATATACCTAATCTGATATAAATAAATGTTTATAATAAATATTATGTGATATATTGATCAGAATCACAAGATTTTGGTACTATTTGATTTGTCTTATCAAGACAAATTGAATAATACCAAAATCTTGTGATTCTAATCAATATATTATATAATATTTATTATAAAAGTTATATTTATATCAAATTAAGCACTATATCAAATTAGAAATATATTTTTTAGACAATCTTTAATAAGTGATATCTCATAATTTAGTGATTAGAATTAGATAATTTTGGTATTATTCAATTCATCTTGATAAGATGAATCGAATGATACTAAAATTATCTAGCTTTGATCAATATATCATGATATTTATCAAAAATATTAGCTATATTAAAATAAGCATGCCTCTCTTATATACTTTTTTTTGTAAAAATAATAATAAAAAATAAATAATAAATACCATATGTTACCGAATAGAAGCTACCCCCCACTTTTTGAGTGCAAAAAATGAGAAAAATGAAAGAAATTGTTAGTTACCAAATAAAAGCTACTCC